AGAAGTGAAGTGATTAAAAATAGTGAAGTTACAAGTGATGAAATAGTAAATAAATTAGAAGATATTGTTGAGCTTGACGGCCTGCACCATTACAGACAAAAAAATATTACTGGTGATGGAAATTGTTTATTTTTTTTGGCAATTCAGCATTATTGTAATGCATTGAATTTTGATTAGAAAGCATTTTTCGAAATATCGATTTTTTTGTTTAAGTTGAAAGTTCCGAACTTCAAACTCATAAAAATTATTGAAATCGGTAAAGTCGGGTAGGGAGATTTCCGCGTAACTGACTTCTGCAGCACACATACCTTCAAGGAACAATATGTTTCTCCTAACAAAAATGTCAATTCTACATTCCAATGACAACCTATGAATATCATTTAGACCGTTCCATATAAAACACTTCTAAGAAGAAGTCTGAGATAAGACATTAAATTTCAATCACTGTGGGTCATTGGTCAAAGTCTCGATTTCTTGACGGTTTCTTACGATAGAGTAATTACAAACTCGAGTATTAGAAGTTATCTTAGCTGGTGGTCTACCATTCTAATCGCGTTTTGCTAGAGCGATTTTACGTACAAAAGCGTTTTCGTCGCCAGCTATAAACGCCATTATGCGTGGTACCTGACGGTTATTACAAGTGTAGCATTGTATTTGTACTCGGCAGGCCTTAAAGTTAGTGTGATGAGTTAATTATTATCTACTATATAAATGCTAAAGGAACATTTACACTCCAAACGGACTTTGACTATCCTAAAAAGGACTATTGAAGAATAAATACCCCCTCCAACTATCACCGACTTTCAACTATCTTTAGAAGGTATGTTAAAGAACGCGGATAAGTCAGCTTCGGTTGAAATTCAATTATCTAAAAAAGGACTATTTAAAAACACCAGCTAGTCAATTGCGATGAAACTCCAACTATCCTAAAAAAGATTATTAAAGCAACGCCGATGAGATAATTGCGGTGGAAATCCAATTATCCTGAAAATGATTATTGAACGAAACAATAATCCAATAAAGCAAATAACCGTGATCTTGAAAACCCTCATTGGGTCTGTGTTTTAGAGCTATGTGTGCGTGTGTTTATGTATATGTACGTACGCGTATCTATGTTGCCATTAGAAAATAAAAATAAGGCAAATAACCGTGATCGAGAAATCCGCCATTTGGCCTGTGTATACCCTAATATCTCGAAATCTAATCATAGGCGAGCTTCAGACCCATGCAGACTTTTGATCTACATAATATTAGCTACCTTGTCCCAAATTTAGAAACAATTTGACAGAAAGGCATTTCTTATAAGTTTTGTGCGTGGTCCTTTATATGTATTCCAAATTTCATAAATCAGTACTATGAGCATCTAGTACTTTTTACTCCTAGCTGGATAGAAAAACTTGCAATCGTTGCTTGAACAGTTTTTACATATTACATATATTAGGATTAAGGATCGTATTTACTTACGAGTCGTAAAAAAATTTCTCCGTGAAAAAATCAATAACATACGCTTATTCTCATGTCTGACTCAAAGCGATAATTCAATCAATTTGATAATTTCTGTATGGTAAAGAAATTAAGAATATTTTTTATTTAAAAATCGTGTACATATAACTACGGTTCAGCAACAAGAAAAAGAAACTTCGAATTTTTAATAGCTTAAACAGAAACACTAGAACATACCATATATTATATTCAAGTATAATTATTTCAAAAAAATTACTTTGCAGATTCAGAAATCTAAATTTTTTTATCTTTTCTGCGTGACCTTAACTTCGACCTTGAGGGTCATTTTCAAGGTCATTTGAAGGTCAACTTTCTGTTTCTCGGAGTAGCCTACTTTTTTATCACGGATTCGGAAACAACAAAGAATTCGACGTTCTGGAAACATAACACATGTAGTATCTAGGTAACCCTTCCTGTAAGGGTTTTTTTGTTGTAAGCTTTTTCATAAACCCGTTCGTAATTCTAACTTAAGTAACATTATTTTGAAACGACATTTTTTGTAATTATTAAGATTTCTTCACAATGCTTTGTGATTCCTGATTAATTATTAATAAAAAAGATAATAAATATGATAATTTTTTCATGATAAGATCAATTTGTGTACTGTACACTTTGGTGTGATTTATTTACCCTATCCAAGACACTCCCAAAACAAGTATTGTAGAAATTACTACTACTGTTACTACTAATAGAAAAGTAGAAACAAATTTGACCTTCAAATGACCTTGAAAATGACCCTCAAGGTCGAAGTTAAGGTCACTACAAGATGCCCCTCTCAAAATGCAATAACTTTTGTCTACATAATTTTTCTCTAAACCATACCGATCTTAGGTTAGTTGGGTGGAAAGATTAAGAAAAAAATAACATTGAACTTTACGTGATATTGGCGACGACCTTGGTGGTCACCCAGACCCCACGTATAATAGGTCATCTGAACGTAGAATTTCCCGCTCATTCTGAATCCGAGGTCAAAAATGGAGGTTTCTATTTAAAAAAACAAAGTTGACCTTCGGATGACCTTGAAAATGATCCTCAAGGTCAGAGTCAAGGTCACCCGATTATGTCCCCCTCGGAGTCCAGCAACTTTTGTCTGAAATATGTTTCACGCATCCTTACCTGGAAAAAGATTTCTGGGTGCTTCGATTAAAATGGTCCACCCTATATATTAAGTTCAGAACGAGGACCCTAAATAAAAAATGAATACGTTTCTTTTCTTCGATTTTTCAAATCTTTATTCAAAATTTTCTACATGCATACTAATTGGATTAAAATTTTTATTCGAGGAGCAAGTTTTTTTCTTCCACGGAGCAAGGTTTACAAAAGTTATTTGATTAATTAATTGGGTTTGCATTAACCATGATTAATGCAATTAGGATCTCGTGATTTTTAATTAAAAATTGATTTTTCTTCAATGATATATTAGGTTTGGTTTATGTATCTTATTATCAAAAAGAATAAGATGCAATAAATAATTCAAATAGTCAACAGGTGAGACGTCTATTGGCTATATAATAAGGCTGGAAAACGTATTATTCGTCAATGCATTATCGAAATGTGAAACGGCGGAATGTCGGCATTTTTATAATTAATAGAATTAGCAATAGAATTTCTCTAGTTCATACTAAGATTATAATAAACAAAATGTACTTTCCAACTGAAATCAGAAAACATGTTAGAAGACAAGCCAGTTATGAATAATTTAGTTTTGATTTCTTAGATAACATTTGTAGACATCCAGCAGAAAAACAATGTTAAAATCGGATAAATGATTAGGCCAAACTGAACCAGATTATCTATAATTTGGACAATATACTCGTCTAGTGTAAATGCAGTAATGAGAATTTATTGCTGTTTGAAACCTGATTTGATTTCATCTATAGGTTAGTCGTCAGAAGCAAATTCTCGTAATAATATTTATAAATCTAATCATTCTTATTTTCTATTCCGAATGCTCTCAATGCATATTTCTGTTATATTGAATTTCAAAGTACATGAACAGAAATTCTATCTGATCAGCGCAGGGAAACAGTATAAATATAGTTCAAAACTAGAATACTAGGTGGTACTGACAACACCGCAGTAGAGTCGACGTGTCGATATAGTAGAATACTGCATGTAGTTGTGAGAATTGAAACGGAAAACTATTTTTTATGTAGAAAGAGAAACAAACTTCCGTTCTTACATCTGTAGGGTTCATGCGAGAACGAATAAGAGTTTAAAAGTATAGACTGAAGAAGTTACCATAGTTTGTATATGATAAATATTATCATTATCAAAGAATCAATATTTAAAAAAGCGTACACTTGTTATGATATTATTACTAACAATGAATTTCAGTATACTGCATATCAATAATTATATAATTTAAGATATCATGATAAAGATAACATATGCTTTGAATAGTCGATAATTAATTTATTTTGCATATGTACTGTCAGATTTCGAATTAATCAACGGTTTCGCTAATTTAATGAAGTTACATGAATCAATTGTAATATAATATAACTGCATGGAATGATTAAAAATGTTTGATGCATTTATTATAGTAATTCGATAATTAAAAATTTGTCTATTCAATCAATGTCAAAATAATATGAATAATAGATGTAATAATATAAATTAACGTTCAATAATATTTCGAGGGTTGAAATGGAAAATTTGAAAGATGAAGTTTAGCAAAAACTGCAACATATTCGCATTAAACACATCAATTTTGAACGGCCAACTGTTTCGCTATTTGTGTAAGCTATCTGACATTTTTTTTATGAAATTCAAAATTGACGCTTCGTAGTCACAATCAAAATCACAATATTTATTCGTAAGTTCCCCAGCAACAAAAATTTATTTCAAAGTAGTCTCTGGACAACTGCTAATTTTACCTTTTTTGTAAAGTGTTCTTTAATACCTCATTGTACCAATACTGTAATATACCTTATAAGAAGGTCAAACTAAAACTATGAGCAAGGTCAATAAAAATGGTTTGACGAAGCCAAGCGCGTGTTGTGCAAAGGTCCAAATGGACAAAGAATTGAGAGACCATGATACTAATGAGATGTCACCAGCTTAACTTTTACGAAGGTGTTGAACGTAGGGAAAGTTTAAATGTGAAAATGAAAAAAAGGAAGAAGAAAATCATAAGGTGTCGGGTAGAGTAGGAGTGGTGTGAAGTCACCAAAAATGTCAAGTGGTGGGCAAAATTAACGCGGCGAAGAGCTACGCGACAGTGTCAAACAGACTGAGAGGACGAGAGAGCGAGACAGCAAGGGGGAGGGGAGCGCCGGTGTGTGCTCCCTCGCTGTTGCTTGCGCTGCGAGCGTGATAAGCCGAACTGAACGGCGGTGGCGGCGGTAGCAGAGCCGAGTGGCAGCGGAAATGACCGAAGCTGCGGCTCGACGGCGAACCGAGCCCCTTGTCCGTCTGTTCTCACAGAAGCGGGATCGGACCGCGCGCGCGGCCGCCCCACCACGTCCACATCCAGTCGTGCTGCGAGCGCCGTACCGCGAGCATCGTCGCGCGAGTCCAATCCTATGAACGCGCGCCCCTTACGTACAGTGCCGCCGACAGCGAACAGTCCACGTCCTTTCCCGTTCTTCTTGCGATCGTTGCATCCGTTTCTCCGCGGTTATTGCGGTCGACGCGAGACATGAGGCGGACAGGCGGTGTCCCGCGATCGTTTTGACAAGCTACAACGAGGACTCGAACAAAAGAAAAAGTACTCGAGTGTCGTTGTTCGTCGAGTGTTGTTGGTGAGAGAAAGCCGGCATGCCAGGGCCCTCCCGCTTGAGGGTGCATGCAACATTCGAATGAAAAGCAGTGCTGGTCAACAAGTTTCGCGTGAACGGCAGCAGCAGGCATCTCGCGCGCACGTGCCAGTGCTGTAGGGCGCTCCGATATGACGACGCGCCGGGCAATCGCGGACTGACTGTCCTCGGATCCGATCCGTCGTATCGCCTGCGCAAGGCTGTGCTGCACCCATTCTCCACGAAGTCCGCTGCTCATTCACTGAGAGAACAGTGTAACGACTTTTCCTTAATCTTCCAACGTTTACTTCGGATGCCATCCACGCAGCCGCTCAATGTCGTCGTTCGATCGTCATTCTTGATGCGAGTCATTTTCATGCATTTCACAATATATACGAAATAATTTTACTGGGCTAGCTTATTTGCTAGAGATCGAAAGGCGGCTAGCTGCTCGTGAAAGGGGAGCATCTGCAGTCGGCTGTTGGCCGTACGTCGATAGTCGATAAAGCACGTGTTTATAAGGAATATACCAATTGGAAAGCCCGAGAGGAGGCTTGCCAAGTGCAAACTGTTGAATACAGGAAGACAATAGACCAGCCGATGACCCAGTGAGGCTGCGCCAACAGCGGACTGCGGGTCCTCGTTTTCCGCGCAAAGCAAAAGACAAAAGAAAACGATCGTCGGCACTTTCTCTCAGTGTCGCGGGGCATCGGCGGCTAGGGGCCAACAAACACAGCGGGGCAGAGAGAGAGAGAGAGCGAGAGCGCGAGCACAGCGTCAGAGCGATGGGCAACAGCAGCGAGGGAGCAGGAGGCGGTGGCGACGGCGGCGGGCGCTCCTTGGAGGCGGCCTCCGTGCCCAAGAAGTTTCGGCCGAGGATCGACGGCCAGGACCGCCCCGGCGGCGTCGTGCTCAACTTGACGATGTGCTTGCTCTGCGTGACCAGCCTCGGCGTGTCCGGCATCCTCGCTTACCGCGAGCTGCGCCTCGAGGAGCGGATCGCCAGTCTCGAGCTCATGTGCCAGGCGCACCAGCAGCAGCAACTCGAGCCCTCGGACGTCCTCGTCAAGAGGGTTGAGCGCGAGGTCAAGCAGCAGATCGAGAACGCGCAGAAGGCGGCGACACTCGCCGGACCGGACGCTGCAGCCGCTATCTTCAGGATCAAGAGGGACGTCGACTGCAACTGCCCACCAGGTTAGTCCTTTCTCTTCTAACCTCGATCGATAACGCCGATGCCCGTTCGGCGATCATTTAGCAAGGATTCCTCCGTCTGGTCTCCGCGATCCGTGCTGGCAATCCGTAGTAGTTCCATCCCGACAGTCAATCTATACCACATGCCTGAATTTCCCATTCGACAAAAATTATAACTGGATACCAGCATCGGCGACGCAGCGGAGTATAGGGTTGAGGGTCGTCTGTATAAATTTATGGAGCGACAGCGTGGATTAAACACGCGCGGTAAAATATCGACTCTGACTCTATAACCATGATTTACAGTTAATTACGATTAATTTGTGATAAGCGGAAATTTCAAGCAACTGCTTAAAATGTGCAACTGCGACGCTCATTAAATAACGCCAGTAGATCTCTTTGAAAACATCGAATATAGCATCGTCAATTGGGAATTGAACGCAAATGCAAGTACCTTTTGGTATAATCGACGAGGATAACGTAGAAATACATTAGCCTGAAAATAGTCGATGAATATTTAATCAATAGGCTCCTTATAAACTACTCGCATATTCCGCTTGTGCAGAAAATACGAGGTGTACGTGCTCTTTCACAGTTAATTTGATCGCACGCACAGTCGCGTAAACACGTAGCGGAGCACGCAGCTTGCGCCTAAACCGTAACATACGCTCAGGATCGGACTCGCCAACCTTATGCGACATAGATGTGAAGAAGGCCTCGATAGCGCGCAATTCAGGCTCGTGGTCGCGAACCTGAAGCGAGTGTAAACACGACCAAATCGCTATGGTTGCGCGCGACACTATATATGCGGTGTAACACGACGGTTTCAGGCTCCTTCAACTCGAAGCTCGTGCATTTCATTTCTCACTTTCGCCTATTTTATATTCATGTTTTCTTTGATCAATCTAAAAATTGAGATTATATTACCATCTACCACGCAAAAGTTTCCAATTCGGTCGATGCAGCTTTCAGTTTTCTAACATTCCAAAGTTTTTCCACGCTTATATTGACATTGAATTTTCATTAGTGAAATCGCATTCCCCCTGCACATCTTCCGAAAGAGGTAAATTTGGAATTGGAATAGGCTGCTTATGCGTATCGAAACTATTTTTCAGCTGCGAGAACTAATGCGCAGAAATTGTGATTTCGACTCCGACTTGGAGCGACAATTTTGTTTAAACATCGTTGTGCAACATGCCAGGTTCGTGGCGAGTGAAGTTCAATCCAAATTGGCGCTTGTGTTAAGGACCGATACAAAAATGCCTGCATATTCGCTTGCAGCTGCAAAATTGATTTCAAAGCACTCGCTGGATTATACGCACGTATACGTGCATCCGTCGCCCAATGCTCGAACTGGAAGTGAGAGCGAGAGAAAGGCAAACGATGCAGGGCAAAAAAGTAAGCACTCGAAGGATAAAGAGGTTAAAATAAGTGGAATGCCGCCACCGCGGCCGGCTGCTGCTGCTGCTGCCGTCGAGAAGAGGGATGAAATGTGACGCGCACGCCTTGTGCTTCCCGCTCTTTACACTCTTAACTTACCCGAGCCTATACCTGCGTATACACAGAGAGCCAGCTTTCTCTCTCTTCATGCTTACCTTCAGTGCCCGAGTGTCCGCCGTCACTTCGTTCTCTTTCTCTCTCTCACGCATAAGGCCTGCTCAAATTATAATCTTTCCGATGAAGATTTCATCGTTAATTTCATTTTTCTCCGGTTCGTTTGTAGAATTCGTCCGGCAGTTTAATAACTGATTGGTTTTTTGCTCCACGTCATCTGTAGCTTGCTAAATTGACAAATAAAATTTACTTCGCCCTTGGGTTGTCACGTTAATATATTTATCCGTAGTTTCATTCACACGCAATATACTTTTTTGAAGAAGAAATACCAAGAAAACTCGATATCCCACAATTCTAGTTACGGTCTCTGAAGTATTGTTCCATTTGCTTGGTCGATCAATTATTTCTGCAAATGATTTTCACAATGCTGCTTCTCTTCTAACTGCGTTGACGCGTGATTCGATTTAATATGCGCGAACAAGTACGTATTTAGCGGCTCATTCTCGAAGCTACTTCCATACTTCTTTTTTCCTTAAAGTCGTTTGCTCCATTTTCAGCAGTCGCAGGTTGAAAGATGCCTTTCCTCAAGCTAGGTAAAAAGCTGCTTAGTAGCTAGATGTGAAAAAGTATTTTCAAAGAAAGACATTGCGCGAAAGTAAGAACTAACGACCCGCTCTCGCATCTTTTTTCTCCTCTTCCCGGCACGAGCCGCGAGTGCGAGCTTTTTTACACGCGCGCGTATGAAAAAGCTTACGAGCGAATGCAATTCGCGCCAAATCATGTCGACGATCAGTGCAACGTAAAATATCTTATTCAGTCCCGTTTCTTGAGTTATGGGGCTGCGCGCAGTAAAAAAAAATTACAATTACCGGAGTAGTGCATAAAAGGGCCAGTTTTTCAAGTGCACATACGTGAAGAGCGTGAAGAGGCTTGTTAAGAAGGACGGTGGAAAGTCTGCGCTCATAATTATTACACCCCTATGGTGCGGTGCGCCGCCGGCGAAAGTGCTAGAAAGTCATTTTCTGGTTTATTACGCACTTAAATTTCCATGAAAAATGTCTATCGTCAAGAGGGTAGCGCGCTCTCGCCGTTGCCACTTTACTCGCGCCATTTCCAAATATGCGTTTAATTGTTTCAAAATGCTCGACAGAGTTAAAAACAGATGAGCTGCTGCTGATCGAGCTTTGGCGCAAGTTCACTCGCACCAGTGTACGAGAGCTCTCGTCTACTATAAGGAAGCCCCGCAAACGATTTCATCTGCTAGTCTCTCTTAGCCGGTGGCTTTATCGCCCTCTCGCGACTGTTAGCTTCCTTTAGCCGAATACCACGCGTGGCAGCTTGTCCTAGGTAGGCTTGCGAGAAAAAATAGACAGAGCGAATGCCAGAGGGTTGGGGGAGGGGCGGGGGGTCGACAGACGCTATAAATCTTGCGACTCCTCTCTCTCTCTCTCTCTCTCTCTCTCTCTCTCTCTCTCTCTCTCTCTCTCTCTCTCTTTGTCTGCTACTTCGGATTAAGCCATTGTAACTTGTAACGCGTGCGTACGCAGCAAGAGCGCAGAAGCGAGAGAAAGGCCCGATTGAATGTGGCGACATTCCCGATAAGATGTACACCCGTCTGCTTGTACATAAAACATATATTACATTTTTGACTTGCGGCTTATTTGTTTTTCTTGGCGCCGCCGCCGTATACGTTGCAGGTTTGTTATCTAGCTTGAGCGCGCGCAAAAGCCAAACCAGCCGTCGCGTGATGCATTGGGCTTTCGAAGGCCCGATTTTCGGAGGGGACGCGCGCCGCGTGCTGTTTCCGGCCTGGTTACAATGATATCTCTATATAGCCCTACACCGCGGACCCTCGGCAGCGGCGAGCCTTATGTTGACCTTGTCGTCGGTGACGCTCGCCCTGATTCACCTTGACGTGTATGCGATGCTCGTGTAACCCATTAATGGCTTTGCCTTTGCTGGGCAAGCGCGTGATTAAAGATTATCTGGCTCCTGCCCGCTATGAATGATAGTCCCCCCTCCGTAAGGGAAGCGGCGCAATCAGCGGAGGAGGCAGAGGACATGTGTTCTAGAACATGGAGATGCGCATTACGACAAGTCGACGTGGGAGCAAGAAGGCGCCGCGGCCTGATAACGTCGAGTAAAATGCCTCTGAGAGGCCACGTTATCGTTGCTACGCGCTGTTGTACGAAAGCGTGTGCTCCGTACTGGCCGCGCGCGCGAACGGTCCTTCGATGGCTGTCAGCGGCCCAGTAAAGCCTCGAGCTGTGCGCAGCACTGCGAAATCTTAATTTTCCGCCCCAGAGGTGCTTCCAAAATACCTGTAGCGCGCAGCCTCGCTCTTACGACTGTTGTTCATGAATTTTCTCGGGAAAGAGAAGAGGGTCGGCGGCCGCATTCCGCAGGTACCTTCGCGCGTGGGAGTGCCGTGACACAGTTTACCCGTAAACAAAGCCGAATCGGAGCTGCACGTAGAGCCGAACTTTTGAGCGTTAGAAATGTAGATTTTTCGCGATGCGCCGACGGAGAGAGGGAGAGGGAGAGAGAGAAAGAGAGAGCAGCAAGTTTATTCGTGCAAGAGGAAGAAAGAAAGAGCGAAAGAGGAGAAAAGAAGTGCCGACGTGTTCATAATAGATAATCCGCGAGGCGAGTCGAAAAACTGATCGTGCGCTGCAGCCACGAAATAAGAGGAGAAAAAGCGAAGAAGCTGCAAAAAGCTCGGCCAAAATAAAAGAAGCAGCGAAAGCAGTGCGGCGCACGGGTACGGAGTGGGCGGATAGGTTGTTTAAAGACGAAACGCGGCATGCACTGCTCGCAAAGTTGCAGAGTAAGACTGTAACCAATTGAATTTAGCGTTTTCCAATTGGGCCAGCGCCACGGCAGTCAGTTGGAAAGTTGGAAGGTGTGCCATCCCCTTATGATTTGTGCATGGCGCAATGGCGAACTTTCGCGCGAGCGCGCTCCTCCGACTGTCCAATGAGGCGGCGGCGAGGAGCGACTTTGCCGCACATACCGATCGCGCCATTCCTCGTAGCTGCGGCCTGGCCGCGGATTAATGGCGCGTGCGGACCTTGCGCTTCGCCGAGCGTCACGTCGCTTTCATTCGAAAAAGCAGATTGACTCGCCCATAACGACACGTCCGTCCATTCCCCTCATCCGTCTCTCGTTGGCTGGCTTGTTGGCTTCGCAAAGGCACTTAACACGCGGGTAGGCCTGCTCGGCAATATTTCACGCGAAGGCCGCGCCAGCAGATTCGCTGCATCTAATTGTATTTAAATTTGCAGCGTCGCCAAGTGCGTGCGCGCATAAATCTGCGAGCAGCCACGACTAGTCGAGCGTCGTTTGCTCACAATCGCCAGTAATTCCGCGATACGTTCCCTCTCGCGGTCTTCCTCGCGTCTCCCTTTTCAACGAGACACGCGCTTGCCGCGCCCGCGCCGCCGTCACTT